CCATATGTACCCACCTTCCTATATCATAAACCCCATAGCACCACATTGTAATTTTTGCTTTAAGTGGTAAAGAAACCAAGGGAAAGAAGTATACCATATATACATGTACATATACATACTTCTAGCTGTTTACCTATATGTAAAATCTGCAACAGCTTTCAAGATTTTATCTTTGTTTTTCAGCAGTCTGACTGATATACGGAAGTGTGGTTTTGTGTTTATTTTACTTGAGGTTTTCTGAGCTTGTATTAGTACATTCATTTTTCACCGGTTTGGGGAAATTTCGGCTATTATATCTTCAAATATTTCTTAAACTTTTTCTGCTACTGTCCTTCTGGGACTCCACTTACACATGTTTTGGACAGTTTGATACTATCCCACAGATTGCTGAGGCTCTGGACATTTGTTAAAACTTTTTTTCTCTTGTTCAGATTAGATAATTTATATTAATTGTTTATATTAAATGGATATTTATTCTTAGATCTCCAATCTATTAAGCCCATTTAATACATTTTTCTCTTCTGTTATTATTTTTCAATTCTAGATATTAAAATCTTTTTAATGTTTATTTATTTTGAGAGAGAGAAAGAATTCTAAGCAGACTTTATGCTGTCAGCACAGAGCCCAATGCAGGGCTTAAACTCATGAACCATGAGATCATGACCTGACCCCAAATCAAGAGTCGGATGCCTTGAGTGACTGAGCCACCCAGACACCCTCAATTCTAGATTTTTAAAAAATTTCCTGAGATTCCTGATCTGTGTATTCCTTGATATACTTTCCTTGAAAACCCTTAAACATATTTATAATAGCTATTTAAAGCTCTTGCCTGCTAATTCCAAGATCTGGGGTGCTTTCTAGTGATTGCATTTTCTCTTGACTGTGGGCCATTTTCCCTTATTTCTCACAGAGTGTGGATGAGACCATGCATGGAGTCTGGTTTATGTCATCTTCCTTTAAATGGCATCTCATTTGTACAGGAAGACACTTAAATTAGCAGCAGACCATTGTGGCCTTGTCAGGCATGGTGTAATCTCTGTTACAGCAGGCCTATTTCATTCCATTTTAAATTTAGTTTTAGGGTGCGTCCTTTTCTCTGGGGCTCACTCCTTCTAAGATGTGGCCTTTCTACATCTCAGTTAAATGGTGATGTGCTCAGTGAGCCCCTGTGCTCTGGCCTAGCTGGATTTCTGATACTTCTCAGCATTTTATGGCCTTTGGTATTATTCACTGCTTATCTCCCAGTTCTGTGGCAGGTGGTCTTTGTAGGGTCTTGCTGAATTTGGCCCTGCCGCAGGTGCAGTCCCGTCCTTGGCCAGAGACCTGCAGTGAGCGCTCATGCAGACCTCTCTCTTGTCAGCTACCCTGCCCCCCAGCGTCCAGCCTCTTTTTCAGATCAGTGCGGGTGCCACCCTGCCTGGGTTCCATCTCCCTGTCATGTGTTCCGAGGACAGAAAAGGGGGATGATCATGGGACTTGTTTCTTTTCTCCCAAAGAGCAGAGTCTTGTGCCACTCCATATGTGGACACAATTGCCCCATATATTTTGTTTTATAGTTGTTTTGGCAGGACAGCACATCCATTACCAGTTACCCTGTGATGGCTGGAAGTGGCAGCTATGTGGTTACATGTTAAATTAGTTAAGATGTGGTTACATCTTAATTAGTTAAGATGTATACAAGTTCTGTATAAACAGTATCTGTACAAATACGTATGAGGGTTATGATGTTATCTTTATCCTGCAAGGATTTATAATTCTGTGGACAAGATAAAGATTGGGCTTTAAATACTGGGCATCCTGCCTATGTTTAGATCTCTGAAGCTTCTAGCAGCCAGATTATATAATGTATCACGAAAGTGATACGTACAGATTTCTTCACTTGCCTTCTCCCATCCTTACTCCACTAATTATGTTGTGTTAAAAGCTTTAAATTTCCTTTTCCTTAGGGAGAGCTTTCATGGACACAGAAAAGAACTCTTCCAAGCTTGTGCAGGGGATATGTCCACATGTTAACTTTTCTCTACAGTGTTCAATTCTCCTATAATGGAATGAAGGCCTATTTATTCCAAAATGGTTATATTGGTACTGTTCCATTTTATTGGGTTATCAGATTTTAAAGCCCTTCAGGCCAGAAATGAAACAGAATCTCTTACCCCTTCTGCCTTTTATTTCAGAAATACTAAGTTCTATGTTAATTGTTACAAGGGAGAGGCTAACATCAGGCAGTGGAAAAACTAGTTTTGAGCTAAGGTAAATTAGAATGCAAATGTGTATTTGTATATAATTGTGATATAAATGTGTAATTGTCATCTTTGCTTCCTGTTTTGGTAGTTGGTCAGATAGAGACTAAAGAAGAAATTCTGGGGGCACCAGTGTCAGAAAGAGAAGACATAGAGTCCATGGCTTGGACTCTCAGGGCAGGAACACTGTGTCTGTGTCAAGTACATAGTAGCTGGTTCACTGGGATATTGATGTGGTTACGTCTGTTGGTATTTTCCAAATGAAAAATTCTCTCCTTAAAGAAAACACTTTAGAGCTAGAGTGATCAGAAATTCAATATTGATAGGAAATTTTCCTTGTTTTCAGTAATTCTGTCTGAATTAACCAAAACTGCCGAGTCCATTTATGAGTAGCAAGGACTGAATATTTTAAAACTCTGATACTCTTTTCCAATTCAATATTGCTGTATCTGGATTTTCACAATGCTGCCCTCCCGTAATCCCTTTCATTATCATATTCCGACATGCTTTCATGTAGTAATACAGAAAGGAAAAGCTAAGAGAAGCTGAGATAAATTTTATTTTTCTTTTAAACAGAAGAAAGAAAAGAGGTGGGGTTACACTTTTATAAATATCTATAAATATCGAGCGATAGGCAAATTTTCCAAATAAATAAATAAATATTGCCACATGCTAAGGAACATAGAAATTTATGGGGACTGCCTTGGCTCCTGCCAAAGGAAAAACCCCTAATAAATGGTATTGGGTTTATAAGATCACAACCAATTTTCTACCAAAGTCCTTTTGGGATTTTACATCTAGTCAGTATTGGGGAGCTTCCAATAGCTTTTATATAGTATAATATGAATGAAAGGAAATGAAAACTATCGAGAAAATATTTGCCATGCACTGCTATATAGTAGTATATATAGTTTTAGTGTTTCAGAATGGGCACTAGTCCTTCAAGTTCAGGTGAAAACAGTGGTCCAATGTTTCATAAGTAAAAGAACGGATCAATTTCTAAGGCTGGGTGCATGATGGCAGTGGAAAGAAAACAAAGTGGGAAGAAACTTGTTTAAATCTCCTCTGCTTGTTAGCATCCTGCTCTGTAGGTTGAGAGGAACAGAGGTAGGAACATGGGGCCCCCTTGTAGAAAGACTCGGAAGCAGGTGGTAAGGCCGTGTAGGGGGAGGCTGAGCCGTCAGGGCCACCTGTCTGGCGCCTCGGCTGTTTGGTAAGTGAGGTTTGGTTTTCCCGGGACTGAGAACCGTCTTCAGGTAATGCCCCCAGGATTTGCAAGTGGACAAAGACTCAGAGTGGACTCCTGCCAGCCCGGGAGTTTTAGCTAACTCTAGCCACTGCTGCAGAGCCGTGAAGAGAGTATAGTGAAGAGCTGGCAGCCTGGTCTTTGTGGAATGCCTACACATGGGTCCCCTGATTACTAGACTTCTTTCCCCCTGAGCCCTTGATACCCCTTCCCTTAGACATAAGGACACAACCTGCCAGTCCACAGAAAGCCCAACCCAGAGCAGTCCCGTTGTCCCAAGGCCCCCTCGTGTTACAGTTTTGTAAGTCATCCCAAATGCGGTACTACTCGACCTGGAAGTAGGCTTCATCGCATGCCTCTTAGGGGAGTTTCAGTTTATTTCCATTTAAAATATTTATTTTCGGGGCGCCTGGGTGGCGCAGTCGGTTAAGCGGCCGACTTCAGCCAGGTCACGATCTCGCGGTCCGTGAGTTCGAGCCCCGCGTCGGGCTCTGGCCTGATGGCTCAGAGCCTGGAGCCTGTTTCCGATTCTGTCTCCCTCTCTCTCTGCCCCTCCCCCGTTCATGCTCTGTCTCTCTCTGTCCCAAAAATAAATAAACGTTGAAAAAAAAATTTAAAAAAATAAAAAATAAAAAAAAATATATTTATTTTCATTTCCTAGCAGGGGAGATTTTCAGGAGCCCATGCCAAAGCGCTTCCTCAGGCCACATTCACTAATGCCAAAGATGGGGTCCATAGGGCTGTATCACAGACCGCTTGGGAACAGGCAGGGCCCCCAGGCTCTGGCTGCATAGAAGGAGAAAGAATGTGGCAAGGGGTCCCTGCCCCCTGCTCCGTAGGGAGGTTGAATTTCCTAGCCTGATTTCTTGTCTCAGTTCTCCGAGCATTCTAGTTCCATTTTCACCAGCCTGCTACCAACCTTTTTGACAGCTCTTTTCCAGAGATGCTCTAAGGAAGGGCGAAGGCCTGAGATTAGGATTGTTAGCCGTTTGCCCAGTTCCTCCGTTAATGCCCTAGGTCAGCGTTGCAAACTCAAATGCCAGCAGGGCCCAGGCAGGTAACCTAAATGTAAGGAGCAGTGGAGAAGCTACTGGTACTCGCTCTTCCCGTCACCTTGGCGGCAGTGAGCTCACGAAACCATTGCTTGGTTTTTAATGCTAGACTGATGAGGAAGAGAGGCACAGGGGAGAGAAACTGCCCAGCCTGGTTGGGGCAGGGTGGTGGGAATGAATGAATCCCTCCCTCCTTAATGAGGGTGAAACTTCTAGTTTATCTTTCTGGGCTTCTAAGTTCACAAAGGTGGTGTGGGTGGGGTGGGGAAGGCAGTGAAACCGCCACCACTCGGCCCTGAAAGGCGCAGTCCCGGGGCCCTCCTGGTGGACGGAGAGAGAAACAGGCTCCCGCACACCTCACCCCCACCCTCCCGCTCCGGGACCACAGAGGGCCCAGGCCCCACCGGAGGCCGTGCGGCTTTCGCAAGGACGGCTCGGCCACGGCTTCCGCTCCTGGTCTCCCTAGTTGAATTTGGGGAAGGGGCGGCACCTCTCCACGCCCATACCCCCGGCGTGCGCGTTCACCCTGTTGCCCCTGAGCACCCCTAACGGGTCGCTGGCCACCACGCCGCTGTCCTCGGCGCTTGGGAGCTCCTGGGAGCAGGAGGCCGGCGCGGGGGTCATGCGGGGCCTGGGCTTCAGCACGTTCAGCGGGTCGCGCTCGGCGTCCTCGGCGCTGCGGGTGTGGCGCCGCGGCCGCGGGGTGTTGAAGTGGACGAGGGGGATCTCGTTCCTACGCGACAGGAACTGGGAGTAAGGCGGCGGGTTGGTGCCCGGCAGGAAGGCCCTCTTGGCCGGGCCCAGGCTGACGAGGAAGCGGTGCTGGGGGGAGTGGTACACGTCGTAGCCGTTTTCCAGCGTCCGCTGTCGGAACCTGCAGCTCTCGGGGCTGAAGAGGTGCTGGAGGGGCAAAGCGAGAGCGGTGAGGCCCGCCCGGCCCCCGGGGGCTCGGTCGGGGAGGCGTCTTGAACCCCTCGTTCCCTTGGGCGGGGGAAGCGGTGGCCCTGGTCTGCGGGGCCTGCACGGGGTCCCTGGGGCTGGGCTGGCCACAGCGGGCAGCACTTTGGGCCGGTTTCTGGAGGCAGGGCCAACTTGGGGGCCACCTGGGCCTCTGCCTCTCAACTCTCTTTCGGCTGAAAGTTGGCTTGGGTCTGCCTCCTTACCTGCAGAAAGGAGGGGGCTGGAGTTTGTAGGGCCAAACATAAGGGAGGGCACTCCTTTCCGAGATTGGGTGAACTCTGGCCACCGATGACCTAGGTTTGAGCCCCGGCTCTGCCACTAACTTAGTACAGGCAATCACCGAATGCCTGCTACGGCGTTCACACACGATTTCATTGAATCCTCTAACTGCATGGAGTGTTTTACCAGATGAGGACTATCAGTAGGTCTAAATGTGGTCAGCAGATATTTTAAGTCGGTGCCTCTATTTGTCCCACAGAGAGTTGTCTACTCCGGGTCAGATAGTGTTGTAGGTGCTGGGACATAGCAGCGAGCACAACAGAAAGTCATTGCCATCATGGTATTTCTGGCGGGTCTGTCTGGTGGTAAGAGGCTCCGGAGATGAGCGGTCCTACCATTGTATGATATCAAAACCCTTTGGAATATGCCTGCAACCAGTAGTTTGGGAAATCCTTTGCTTGCCGGTCTGACCCACCAGCAACCACAGTTGGGGCAGACAGAGATCCTTAATGAGAGATCTTTAACTGCAGGGAGATCCCACTTCACTTTTTCCAGGTGAGGAAACTGACATTCAGAGAAGAGAGGGGACCAGCCTAAGGTCAAGAAGGTCTAGTGAAAGAATCGGGAAGACGCCAATGGCTTCTCACTAGAGTAAGCTTCTCACTACGCACAAGGTGCTGTGAAGGTACAAAAATGGGTGCCAACAGGCAGTCACTCTAGAGGCCAAGAGCCCGGGCTCCAGAACCAGACTATCTGGGTTCAAACTCCCGTGTATAAACCCTGAGCATCTCCTACTTAGATTGACTACATCACTCGGTGGCACTATCACCAAGCACTGCAAATGGAATCTTTAAGCTGTAAGATTTTATGTTCTGGTGAAGAAATGAATTATCTCTAAATGGTGACCAACACAAAAAGAAACTCACCGATCCAAAGATATTGCCTCTGAAGTCCATACAGAGGTACCTCTGACTCATCACACCTGTTATCACCACAAAGCCGGCATCCTCCGATCTGATCATCAGGGCACCTGTGGAGAAAACCATCCAGGTCGAAACCTGGCTGCACATCCAATTCCTATCTCCAGGCACTTCTTGAAAACCCACCTCCATGAAACCTCCCTTGATTGACTTTAATATTTTAAAAATTTATTTTGAGAGAGAGAGAGAGAGAGAGCAGACATGCACATGTATGTGAGAGGAAGCGAGTGAGAGAGAATCCCAAGCAGGCTGTACACTGTCAGCATAGAGCTCAATGCAGCTCAAACCCATGAACCATGAGGTCATGATCTGAGTCAAAACCAACAGCCAGATGCTCAACCAACTGAACCACCCAGGGGCCCCTCCCTTGATTGATTTTAAGGGTGGTAATGATTTCCTTTCACTTCACTCCTCTTGCACTTACTTGTTCAGCTTCATTTCTTTGGATTCTCCCCTCCAAACTACCCGCCCCCACTCTTTGCCTCCTACTTTCTCCTCTTGTCTGTACAGAGCACTCCAAACTCCTGTGCTGGACACATGTTTCTTTATTTTCCCCATTGCCTGGCTAATACCTCTTAATGTTTGTGGTGGTCATCACATTCTCCCATGCCTTCTGGGCTTTTGTAATTTTTAAGTCTATGCTGCGATGTCTTTCAAGGATCTAGCTTGCATGTAGAGCCTGAGCTCCACCCAGGAAAGTATACAATAGTCAGTGACACATCACCCAGCACCCATTATGTGTCAACAACTGTATTAGAACCGATCTGTCCCTCCCTTCTCTGCTTATTGAAGTCATTCATCCTTCAAGGCCAGGCTCAGATGTCACTTTCTATGAAGACTTTCCTAATCTCCCTAATCAGAACTAATGCCCACACCTTTATTACAGCATGCATTTCATTCACCTTGCCTTAGCCACATTTACTAAGTGCCTCCCTATGAGTGAGCTGTTTAGGAGCCGAGGGTTTATCTTTCTATGTCGAATAGATACCACGGGTGAATGTGATTTCTTCTTGGATCTTCATTGCTGTTCTGTGTCCTTTTCTTGTTTGGTGGTGTCCCCTCCAGTGCTGTCCCTCATGGTCTCTCCATGTCCCCACTCAACAACAAGGCTCCAACAAGAGCCTGACATCCACATGTACTACCTATGTTTTAAATAACTGATGACGCCCTGCCCTCATTGGGACTTGCAATTTTAACCATTTGCGATGCATTGTAGCAAGGACTGGTTAAGTATGATCTAAAGCTTTCTGTTTTGTGGCAAGAGTACAATTCAACAAGACTTCCACCCCAAATGCTTTTTAATTACCTGACATCTTCTGCTTAGAAATCATTTCTTTAAGTCTTTGGGGTCACTTGCATTTGCCTACTGCAGAATTCCCATGTGGTTCTCCTTTGGCCTCACAGCCCCCAGGCAGGTATTCCAGTTTCTTTTTCAGAAATGTCATGTGGAGAGATTGTAAATGTCCAGCACCTGTGCCCAGTAAGTGGTGGAGCCTCATGGGATGACTTACACCTATGTCTCCCCCTCTTACCCTGTGTCGGCTCAATACAGAGACCTCTGAGGAGAGTAGCAGACAATACTTAGACACTAGCTGAGTATAGAGCCTCATGTGGACGGAAATTAGAATGATGTGGGACAGAAGGAAAGAGGGCAGGAGCAAGCCCAGAAAGAAGAGAAAGTAAGATGGGTGAGGAGAAATGTTAATTTGTTTTCAACCTTTGCTAAGGGTTAGCCTTGAGGGAAGTTTCTGGAAGCGGGGTGGGGTATGGGAAGTGCCGGGGGTATTTAAATTGCTCCATAACAAGGACTGCCTATGTGTCTCAAATATATGGCTAACTCTATGGCAAGCCCTGAGGGAAACAAAAGGAATGTGTAAAATATAAGCTTCTGCCCCACCCACTTTGGGAGAAAAATAGACTTAGTGTTGCACTTTTTAGGTACTCTACATATTTTAAATTCTCAGAACAACTATGATGTTAATGTTAGCATTAACATGGGTTGTAGCAGCATCCCAATTTATGTGAAAAGGGAACTAAGGGCAGGATTCAAACGCAGGATGGTGACTCTAACATCCTCTTTCCATGACCCTGCAGCTTGCCTCCAATAGGAATCATCACAAGCCTGAGAAGACGAAACCAAGTGCCAGACACATGCTGTGACCCATGGGAACCCCAAGTCACGCTGCCCCTGAGTGGGTCCAGGCAGGGTCGCTGACCCAGGAACGGGGGTACCTGGATTCTGGTCCCACCTATGCTACTTACTGACTTTGTAGTCTTGGACAAGGCATTGCTCTAGCCTTGGGTTGCTCAGTTGGGTAAAGAGAATAATAGTAGTGGTCCTGCCTACTTTGTGGGGTTCCGATCAGAATCAAATGCTACCATGGTTGGAAAAGGGACTTTCTTCAAAAAGCGTTGGGAAATGGCAGGCATTACGTGGCATGTGTTGGCCTGCCATTTATGACACTCGGGAGCTCTGGCAGCCACGAGGTTCTCATGCTGGGGGCAGTGGGGGCAGTATGCATGCCACCTGTGCTCCTGAGCTCCAGGGCTGGTCCTAGTAGGAAACCGCCTGCAGGGGAACAGCAAGCAGCCACCACAAAGGATGCACAGACTTGAATCAAACCAACATGAGCTAGCGAGAAAGTGCAGAAAATGTCAGAGACAGATTGCCTTCCCTTTGCCCATTCAGAAAGCAGGTTTTCACAGGCTGCACAGATTCTAGAGCAGAATTTGGCAGAAGGAAGGCACAAGTCACTGGCTACTGGAACCACAACCTGTTGCAGCCAGGTGGGCTCAATGGACTGGCATGTGGAAGAAGCATGGGGTTTGGGTCAAGGTGTCCTCAAGGTGACCTTAAGCCAGTGTAGTTCTTTAACCTTTGTTTTTCATATGTAGGGAATTCATTTACTTCATTTGGTCATTTTGAGGATGTCATGAGATAATATTCTTATCCACAATAAAAACATTTCTAAATGGTAGTAATTTTACTACTGCCACTTGCCTCCATTCTGCTCTATAAGTAGAAAATTATTGGATCTGTTCTATTCTCATAGCCAGTAAATGATAAATGAGATGATAGATGTAAAGTGCTTCAAGCTCCCCAAAAGAAAGAGAATAGTTTGCAAGTTTAAACAGCCGGAGGATAATTCAGCTTTGGGTAAAGAAAAGTGCCAATGGGGAAGATGGAAGAAGGACATATACCAGGAGTTCTGGAGTGATATTAACCAGGGGTACTAAGCATCTCTTCTGCTGTTTCTACGAAGCAAGGCTGGTGAGGAGTGAGAAGGTGGCCCTCTTAGTGGGACAGGAGACATAGAGGTCAGAGAGTCTCCCTGACATCAGTGCTGTGAGTCCCAAGGGAAGTTATAGAATCTTATAGGGCAGGTAATTTCACGATGACCAGCAACTCAAAGATGGGTTGGACACTCAACTATTAATCAGGAATTTACTAAAGCACAATAATCAAATGAATCAGATTTCACCAGAAATATGTAATAATTAGGAGGGGGGAAACACCACATAGCTTCCAGCAGGGTGAAAGCAAATCCTTCACCAGTCTGTGAATTACCTGTGCTACCTATCTGCATGTCTCAGTGTTTCCCCTTAACTTTTTAAGTTACTTTTGATCTTAGTGTCTACATTTATTTTTACAATACACACAGTAACTGATTTGAATAGTACAGAGGGTTATATAAACTGGGAAAAGTAAGTCTCCCTCCCACCCCCCTGACCCCCCGCCCCCGTGCAGCTTTGTGTCAATTTCTAGAGACACATGCTTAGACACCATCTACATCTAGCAAAACAAAAACCCATTTCTATTTTTTAAAAAAATCTGAAATCAGTTCCATTCATTTTGCTTCTTCCCAGGCATTTTAATTCACTCCCAACTAGTATCATTGCCTTCTCTGGGGCTGAGTTCTACAACTCAGGCTGTCTGCTTCATGACATAGGCTGAGCAACACACACTGTACCTCACATGGCTCACCACAGCCGGTGAACACTGTCTACTCCATGTCATGCTCCAAAGGACATGTTTTTGGGGTTCCCTTCAGTGAAAGATTCTGTTAAATATCCATTGAAAAAAAACGAGCAAAAAAAATGAGCAAAAATGATGCATCAAGTGTATCCAGATTTATTCAGATTTCTGCCATTATTGGACTCAAACTTGGCTTCCCAAATGTTGACTCCTGAATCCTACTACATATCCTTGAGTTCTGGAACCTGCCTGCTATTTGGAGAGAACTTTGGTCCCTCCTTTCATCTCCACTGAGCACCTGAAGAGGTGTGCCCAGCTGGCTTTGCATGTGTATGTATCTTGCTACAGCTTTCAAGACCTTTGATTCCACAAAGCAAGGCCAGAGCAAAATTATTGATGAATTCATTACAACAATAGGGCAAATAATTCTTCCTATAAGAAGTTTCCTTTCACTTGGGGCGCCTGGGTGGCTCAGTTGGTTGGTTGAGCGTCCAACTTTGGCTCAGGTCATGATCTCGCGGTTTGTGAGTTCGAGCCCCGTGTTAGGCTCTGTGCTGACAGCTCAGAGCCTGGAGCCTGCTTTGGATTCTGTGTCTCCTCCTCTCTCTGCCTCTCCCATGCTCATGCTCTGTTTCTCTCTGTCTCTCAATAATAAATAAACATTAAAAAATTTTTTTTTAAAGTTTCCTTTCATTGAACAGAGACTGTGATTACTCTGCACTGAATCTGCTTGCATTTTCCTGAATCCTGAGCGTCATTTCCCCATGTTCTCCTAAAATAGACCTTGTCTTTTTCAGTATGCATCCCCCCTCCCAGCCCAGCATCCCCTATATAGGTGCACGCAAAGGGACCCTCATTTGAATCATAACTAATTGATCAACTGTTTGTGGATTGTGATCCACCTTGTCACAAACCTAACCTTTAAGATCATCCCAGTAGCCTCATGATGCCAAGAAGTTCCCAACTAGCTTGATTGCTACTGAGCAGACCTTTCAGCTCCACAGAGAGGAGTCACCAACTGATACCAAACTGGGTACCTCTGAAGCCCCTAGTAAATATGTTTGGTGCATGGGTGCATGGGTGCATGGAT